CAGAGGATAAGACCAGAATTTTCAGTGGTAGGATGAGAAGTGATGGCCATAAATGGAACCACAAGAAGTTCCACCTCAACAGGAGAAGAATTTCTTTACTTTGTGGGTGGCAGAGCTCTGGATCAGCTGCACAGGGACATTCCAACCCCACCTGGATGTGTTCCTGAATCTCCTGATCCAGGTGACCCTGCCTTGGCAACAGGAATGATCTCCAGAGGTGCCTTCCAAACCCAACAATTCCACAACTCAGTGATTCTATGGAGCTGCCTAAATGCTCTAATTAAATCCACCAGTATCACACCATGATGTAGAGGTGCCTCCTACAGCTTAAAGCCTGCCAGCCTGGATCCTGGGAGCAGGATGGATCTGTTGGAATGCAGAGCTCCACGTGGATGGATGAATTCTCCCTCCCCATGCCTGGGCACAGCAGCTGTGACAGATCTGATGGTACAGGGCAGCTCAAGGGCTCCCCATATTCCAATTTGCTGACTTGTATAGCACAAAGAATCTACTCCTTAGGAGACTTTACATCAACGGAAAAAGAAAAAAACCACCAGCAAAGAAACTCAAGGTCACCCTGGACTCTGCAAAGTCCTCCAGTGTGTCAGACATTCTGAACCTGGAGAGTACAGAGGCTCTTTGATGAAAATTCAGGCAGTTACATGCAAAGAAAAATGGTATTTCCCAATAGAGCCAGCACAAAAGATGTATTAAGTGATAATTTCATTCTCAAATGGTTTTCAAGCAACAACTGGTAGCACTTAAATCAACATTTTGCACATGATTAAATCCTAAGGACAACTAATTATTTCTGGCATTTCTTTCAAACTTCTCTATCAGCCAAGCTGATGTTGGAAAGCTTCTGCTGTGCTTTCACTGCAGTTAACTTTCAAAATACTTCTTCAATGAAATCATCACGCTGCTCATGGCAAGAGAAATTTATCTGTGGCCTGAATAAGACTCTGTGTTCCCCTTCAGCCTGCCTGAAAAAGATGGATTACCTACAGTAAATGTCATTATTCCAAGCCACCTTTGTGTAGTGCCACCCATGGGCACGGCAAAGCCCCGTGGGTGAGCGTATTCCAAGCCCACTGGGAAATCCATGGATTTATAAATGTTATTTAAGCAGTACCCAGAGCCTCATGAGAGCATTTCCACAGAGTGAATTTCTCCCTGAATGCATGACATGAATTGCACTCATTGTGATAGAATTGCTCATGCCTCATTTGATGGAATACATAAAGAACAATAAACAGCAAAGTGCCAGTGTGGCATATGCAACATCCAGATTTATACTGCAGAGTGAATCTTTTTGGCCTGACCCAGGAGCAATAAATAGCAGGAAACAGGATTGTTACACTCAGGTGAAAGATTGACTGCAGTGTAGCACAAAAGGTCTCATTAGATTTATGTACCTGGAAGGAACTGAATTAATGTACTTAGAGAAACTCAATTTGATACCACCTGTATTATATATGCAACAACAGCCAGGTAAATGATAGCTTTAATTTAAACTTTTCTTGCTTTATTTAATTTAAGGTAAGCCCCCAGACTGTATTTCGTGGTGCTGGGCTGCAGGGTTTATCTTGAAAAATACTGTTATTGTTAAAGAAAAGTGGGTAGCTAATCCCTGTGCAGCACACTGAAAATAACCCTTAATTTCATTCTAATGGCATTTCTCTGGTATTCACAGGAATGCCAGCTCTGAGACTGTTAAATTTGGAATTTAATGTAGGGCAATTACAGCCAAAATATGTCTGGGGAAAGTCCTAGCAGAGAGGGTACATTCCTTCTCTGTGTGGGTGCTTAATTGGGGGTGTCTGAGGAGTTCAATGTGCTCCCAAAATTTTATCCCCCCCTCCAAAGCACAGAATATATGGCCAGGAAGCTCTGGACAGCAAAAAATCGCAATGTTAACTTCTCCCTGGCCACCACTTTGTGGGATCTCATTCCCTGCTTTGCATCCAGAATCATTCAGATCCAAGTGTTCACATGAGAGGACAGAGATGCCCTGGAGATCCTGAGGGCAGCACTTGCACAGCTCTGAGATGTGGGGTTGTATTTTAGACTCCTCCGGGACAACTCAGATTTTAAAATGGGTCTAAACACAGCAGGTACAGTTGTAATAAAAAATGAAATGCAGCTCCAAGCGCTCCAGGAATTGCTTGTGGAAATATTGAACTGACAAAGCATTTTAAGAAGTGAGGAAATATTATAATTTAATATTATCATTTAAGGAAATAGTTTTATGGATGGCAAAAGAAGAGAGTAGGGAAGGCTTCTGCAGAAAAGAAATGCAAAGTAACTCACAGAAAGGCAGGGTAGCACAATCTGATTCACACTCTGTTCTCCCTAAAACTGGCAGGAAAACCACATTTCAATTCCCAGAGTGTAATAAGATGACATATTACACACATGTATGTGAGATGTAGAAATGCCACAACTTATTTATTTTTGTTGATTGGCAGTGTTCGTTCTCCATTAAAAGTGTAGTATTAAGATCTTTTTATCAGGCCTGAGTTAGACCCTATAAAATAAAAATTCTCTGATGAAATAAACAGTGTTTTTTAATGACAATAATTAAAAAATATTATTTTTGTGTATAGTATGAGCATGCAATATTTTTTTGTTTTTCTGCTAATTTTTTTTTTTGTAGCTTTTAAGTGATTTTTTTTCCTTTGGTAGATTTTAAGCGATTTTTTCCTTTTTTCCTTTTTTTTCTTTTTCTTTTCTTTTTTTTCTTTTTCAGCAAGTCATGCCTTAAGAAATGTATCAAAGTATGAATTTTCCTTGCTGTCTCCATTTAGGAACTCTGCACTGATCTTTCAACAGGGAAGGCTGTAAAAAAAGTCAAGATTAATAAACAAACACCTCCCACTGTCCCAGGCTGCTCCAAGCCCCAGTGTCCAACCTGGCCTTGGGCACTGCCAGGGATCCAGGGATGGAATTCCATCCCAGCCCCTGCCCACCCTGCCGGAGAACGATTCCCAGTTCCCAAGATCCCATCCAGTTTGAAGCCATTCCCTGTGTCCTGTCCCTCCAGTTCCTGATGAAGGGCCCCTCCCCACAAGCACAAGCATTTCATGAGGACAGTGCAGACAGCTGTGAAGGAAATGCAGGCACCTCTATCCACAAAGGGGAATTTTGGCAGATGAAATCTCAGCCACTGCCTGTGCAGGGAGCCACAGCATCACCCTGAGTGCTTCAGTGCGTGTACATGCTAATAGAAAATAGCAAAAAGAAGGAGAAAATACAGAATCATGGAATATCCTGAGTTGGAAGGGACCCACAGGGATCATCCAGTGCCACCCCTGCCCTGCCCAGACCCCCCAAAATCCCACCCTGGGCATCCCTGGCAGTGCTGACCAAAGGAGCTCTGGCAGTCTCAGGGCTGTGCCCATTCCCTGGGCAGCCTGAGCAGTGCCAGCACCCTCTGGGGGAAGAACCTGTCCCTAAAATCCAACCTAAAACTCTCAGCAACAATTAACTCTGATTATCTACTCCAGTGCACTTCATGGAATTTACACTGAGGGAAGCTGCGATCAGTTCTCTTAAAGAAATGCCAGCACAAATATTTCAGAGGCAATTTTAGGAAGCAGGTAAGACTGATTTTGAATCAATACACCATTTGTGATTATACCTGTGCATTTGCTTAGCACAAAAAAAAAAATAATAAAAAGACACTGGAATAGGTTAAAGACACCTAAACTTCTGAATAAGCAGCCTTACAAGAAAACGTCCTCTAACTCTTGGTAACTTCAGCTCACCATTTATTTCTATGTATCTCAAATCTTTGACTGCTCACTGGAAATCCTGATCTGACTTCAGCCCAATTCCCACCCTCACCACAGAACAGGGGAGGTGTGATAAGCTGGCAGACCACTTTGCCCTGCCCGTGGTGCTCATCACACCAGCACAGCAAGTGTGAACAGCAACCACAGAGCCCAGGGCTGAGGTTTTCCTCAACAACTGACCCTGGGAGATGAGATTAAAACACAGCACAGGTGTTTGTGACAGGGAGATGTGAAGCACAGGCTCCACTGGTACATCACCAACAATTGTCAGCAACTGACTCTTCTGGACCTTTGCCCTTCAGCAACACCAAAGGAAAACTGTTTTGACAGTCAGGGATTTTAAACAGGAAAGCACTTGTTTGGATAGCTTCCTTAAAAAAAAATACAAATCTTCATTGTGTTTCTTCAGATGTCCCACAGGGTGCTCCTAAGCTTGGGAAAGACACCAGTCAATATCCAAAAATCCACTTTAATACCTTTGCAGACTAATTGACACAAGTCTTCTTTATAGTGACATTCCCCAAAAAATGTCCTGAGACAACAGTCAATACATAGACACTCTGTGGCTACTGCCTGTTGAGTTATTTATTTTTCTGTTCCTTTCTACTCCCCTGCCTGCCTCCATATTGATGCTGTTTTTTCAGCATGAGTTCTTAAATCCAGCTCCACTTTTTGGCATTATGTTTACAGTGACTACAAAAGGAAAGATCAATAGTTCACTCCCTCTGCCATTACAAGATTTTACTGCCAGTGTTTCCCTGTTTGGTTATTTCTGGAGCAAAGACAACTGCCCAAATTGCTGGATTTGACAGCTTCCATGGAGTGTTAGATCACACACACCACACCCTTTGATGGATCAGTGGTGCTGCTCCAGGCTACAGCAAATCCCCATTTTATTAACTTTAATATGTGCTCTTTCACCTGGTGTGCAAAGCAAATTCACATCCAAAAAATGATCAGCAGTCAGAGGAAAGGCATTGTACAAGCTCAGGAGAAGTCTGTGTCAATAGTACCATTTCAGACCCTCTGTAAAACCTGAACATGGATTGCAGGTCAAGGTAGGACAACCTGGAGACTTCTAGGATAGCAGCGGTGGCCAGGTGGGATAATGAGGCACCTAAAATGGTGCTAAATACACAGGTTGAGACAACTGAGCCACATCCATCACAAAAATCCCCGTTCTTGAGCCACCCCCAGCCTCCTTACCTTGACCCATTCACCTGGTTGGGGTTACACTCCATCTTGATGGTGACTCTGGCCGGGGGCTGTGACAACCAGTCCTGCTGGGGGACACGTGGGCTCATCTTGGAGGTCTGCCCATATTCACTGGAGGAGGAGGCTGTCATCTCTGTCTTGGTGAGGTGGGGTGATCCGTAGGCGCACTCGAACAGGGACTGGTCTTCGCTCACCACCGATAATGCTTCCTGCAAACCAGAGACAGGTCAGGGCAAACAGCACAGGGCTCCCCAGGGAAAAAGGGATTGTCCATCTCACAGGGAGGGGAACAGTCTCATGCATCAAGGAAAAATTAGGCTGGATGCTAGGAAAAGGTGTTTTACAGAAAGGGTGAGAAAGTTCTGGAATGGGAGGTGGTGGAGTCCCCATCCCTGGGGGTGTTTAACAAAGCCTGGATGTGGCACTGGGTGCCAGCGTTCAGTTGAGGGGTTGGGGCTGGGTGGGACTCAAAAGTCTCTTCCAACCCAGTGATTCTGGGAATTCTGTGAATTGCTCTGCACAACTCCCTGACACAAGGGGCACTGAGGGGAGGTCAGGCTCTTCTGCCATGTCCCAAGGGAAAGGAGGAGAGGAAATGGCCTCAAATTTAGGAAGGACCTTGGGACACTGAGCACATCCAGAGGAGGCATTGAGGCTGGAGAGGGGCTGGGAACACAAACCCTGTGAGGAAGCCCTGAGGGAGCTGGGGGTGCTCAGCCTGGAGAAAAGGAGACTCAGGGCTGTCCCCATCACTCTGCACAGCTCCTGAAAGGTGCCCGTGCTCAGCTGGGGCTGGGCTCTTTCTGCAGCAGCACTGACACACCCAGAGCACACAGCCTCAAGCTGCACCAAGGGAAATACAGGTTGGAGAGCAGGGAAAAGGTTTTTCCAGCAAGGGTGAGAAAGTTCTGGAATGGCTGGCTGGGGAGGTGGTGGAGTCCCCATCCCTGGGTGTGTTTAACAAAGCCTGGATGTGGCACTGGGGGCCAGGGTTCAGTTGAGCTGTTGGGGCTGGGCTGGGCTCAATGATCTCAAAGGTCTCTTCCAACCTGGCTATTCTGTTCTGTTCTATTAGCTTTTAGGCACAGCACTGTTGTCACTGAAGGTGAGGACCCATGAGGACAGATGTTGTCAGCAAATGACAGGACAGCTGTAACAGTTGTGCAGCAGAGGATGGGATGGAATGGTACAAATAATAATGTGGTTTATATCCCTACAAAAGATGCTTGGAATATTGCATGATCATGCCTGAGGGTGTTAGTTACCTACAGTGACCAGAAAGAACAATTCTCTATGAGAAAGGGAAAAGATAATACAAAGGATAATGCAAAAGAGAAAGAAAACAAAACTTGGATAGCAATGTTTCTTTCATATTTTATTCTGTTTTTCACTCTGCGTTTCATAGGAAAATTCACTGGATTAGAAGTTCTCTCCCTGACATTAGAGGTTTGCCACTGGTCATAGTGGCAAACAAAGTCCTGCTGTGGGCTCTAGGACTGCTGCAAACCCCACCAAAGGCAACAACAAAAAAATTCCACTTACTTTGATGTGGTTTGGATAAGATTTAAGTCCTTTTTAAAAATAGATGGACTTGATGGGGGAACTCTCCCTGGGGAGACCCTCCCAGAGCAGCTGAGCAGAAATACAACCACACACCACCAAACCTTGGTTACAGAGGACAGGGCGGGGTGGGCAGCACAGCCCAGGTCTGTGGGGTCTCAGTAGAGATAGAGAAGGTGAGATCTGCTGAATGCAGCAAAAATTGCAGCCCCTGAGAGCAGCAACCAAAAACCAGGCCCTGCTGAGCCCCTGGGATCCTCCTTTTCCTTCCTCAGGGACCCAGCCATGTCCTTTCTGGACCAGGAGCCAAGAGATTTAAGCACAACCTTTAACACAGGGACACTATGCCCACCAGCCACTTTCCTCCCTCTCATGGCAACTCTTCCTGGTGGAAATCCCACTCTGGAACTGTGGGAAGGGCTTCCCATCCTCTTCATGGCAGCATGGGGGTTATGGTTGAGGGCACCAGGGCCCATCAGGTGCCATCACATCTGTCTGGAGGTCAGACAGAGACCAGAGGGAGGGACAGTGACCCTCTATCCCCACTGCCAAGCATTCCTGCTGGCACCAATTCCTTCCCTGAGCTATCTGGAGTTGAGTCTTGTGAGTGAGGCAGTGCCTGTAGCCATCACGTCCATCAGGAAGTGTGGGAAGGGCTGAAACTCCTGAAGGGACACATCCCACCTGAGATGAGGCTCCCCAGGCACGAGAGCAGCTCTAGGCTGCCACACTCCTGCTGTCCTCCAGCAGGGCACAGGCTCAGGGGCACCCTCCAAAAGCAGAATTCTGAGGAAATCCACCTTCTCCAGGGGTCACTTTGGGGGCACAAGGTGGTTAAGGGTGCAAATTCAAGAAATGGAAGAGGGCTGTCCAGGGAGGTGTTGGGAGTTCTCATCCCTGAAGGTGTCTAAGGAGCATCTGGATGAGGCAAGGAGGGCATCAGGCATAGCTTGGGCTTGATGGGCTGGGAGGGCTTTTCCAGGCTTGGTGGCTCTGTGAAAGGACAGCGGCCCACTGTGTGATTCCATCCTGGCATGGAATGGAGAAGAGGTGCAGCCCAGCACCTCCTCCTTGGATTTTGGGGACAATCCCCACAGTGTGACTCCATCCTGGCAAGGAATGAAGCAGGAGTGCAGCCCAGCACCTCCTCTCTGTCACTGTGGGGACAATCCCCACTGTGTGACTCCATCCTGGCCCTGTGGCATGGAATGGAGCAGGGGTGCAGCCCAGCACCTCCTCCCTGGATTTTGGGGACAATCCCCACAGTATGACTCCATTCTGGCATGGAATGGAGTAGGGGTGCAGCCCAGCACCTCCTCCCTGCCATTTTGGGGACAATTCCCAGCCTTGGGCCAGCGAGGAGCCTCCGTGTGGGCCCAGGGGCTGATGGAAGCTGACGAGGAGGCTGGGCCAGCTGGCCATGGCTGCGAGTTTGGGGGCCAAGGATCAGGGAATGAGGGGAATCCTGAGCCAGACTCAGGGCAGGGAGCTCTGTGAGGCAGTGTGGGTGGGCTGTGCTCCTGCCAGATCTGCTGCTGACGGCCAGAAACGTGGTCCTGTCAGCAGAGGAGAAGGGAGAGAGAAAAGGGATGGGAGTTCTCTGGGAGGGTGGGTGGTTTTCTGCAGGCTCCCACCCTCCCTGGCTGCTGAAGAGGGCTCTGCTGAGCTCCAGCAGTCACATGCTGTCCTCAAAATCAGTGTTTGTTCATTTGAAGAGCCATGGTGTGACCCTTGCAGATGTTCTATGCAGGGGGAATAGATGGACTTCATCCTGGTGAGTTTCTACTCTGTGATTCTACATTTCCTCCTTTTTATCCACCCGGTTTGTGAGCCCTTGGGGTGCATTCTGCTAATATTCATAGCTGCAAAGGTGAGGACATCACTTCCAGCCTCTTACTGCCTGTGAAAACTGAGATCACCCCTTAATCCCAGGGCTTGGGGAGGGGGATCTCAGGCCCTTCAAGCTCCCTGAGACTCATGATTGCATTACTAACACTGAGTTCAGGCAGTGATCTGCACCTTTTTACTGCTGATTTTCAGATGTCACCTGGGTGCAAAGATCACCACTAGGCTGCCACCAGTGACTTCTCAGTTCCTTCCTTCTCTCCCACCAAAACGCAACCAGCTACCTCTGCCTCTTTGGTTCTGTGAGACAAAAAGGATGCCAGGATAACACCTCCCCTTTTTGTCATGCCAGAAATCTTTGCTGTTGGTGGTCTGAAGCTTTTGTAAAGAGCCTTTTCTGAGAAAACCTGCAGACCAAGGAGGTGTGGGGGGAGATGGCCACTGGTCCCTTGCTCCTCAAGGATTCTTCCCTGGCTCTACTGAGATACCTCAAGGAACTTGATGTGCTTGGAGAATAAAGTAGCAGGCATGACATAACAAGAACTAAAGAAAGGTGTTACACTGGAAGGAAAATAAAGAGCACTTTCTCAGCAGCACACGAGATTTTTTCATGAAATAACTCCACAAAATTAAATATATGTGTGCACAAACACAATCTGACCAGATGATCACAGTGCATCCCATGCTTGACACTACTGAATGCACAGTTCCCTCTTTTCTGCCCCAATCCATGAGACAAAAAACACAAACCGAAATGTTGATTTTGAAAGAGTTACCTCCAGTAGATACACTAAAGGGTGAATTATACAGGAGAAAGCTGATACAGATTGCAAATAAAACATTATTTAACTCTATTGACTATTGTAAATAGTGGAATATTGTATTTAGTACTGTAAAGAGTATAAAGAGTATACTACTGTTAGAGTATTGTATTTACTACTATAACTGTTCACTCATGGACCTTTTCAAAACAGGCATCAAGCCTGTTTTGGAATGGAGAAATAAATCCATAATGGATTTATTTCTCATCCTCCCCCACACAAGTGACACAAAGCAAATTTTTCTGGCTCCTATTAAAAATGACTCCACCTAATGTAAGTTAATTTATGGATATTTAGGGTAAGTATAAATGTAAAGAACAACAAGAAAAAAAGCGTTTTCTATTTATTGGCATTACTAATGACAACAAACACTGCTTGTGCTATGGGTGTCCATTATGTTGCCTGAAGAGGGAAAATGCAAACATTTAAACTTCCTGATGAGCACAGTAAATGCTGGAAATACAAACCAAATTACCTGGGGCTGTGTGAATATCTACAACTATGGACACAAAACAAGACAAACATAAATGAGCCCAAGAGACAGATTTAAACTTCACATTTGAGAGGAAAATTCCTGGAGAAAGCAAGCTGAGCCTGAGTTTAGCTGTAGTTTATTAGACTGAGTTTAGCTGTGGTTTATTAGCACTCATCTGTATCCATCCTGCTGGTTATCAGTTAGTGCTCACTGCCAGGTCTGGGAAGGCTCTGCAGGAACCACAGAGCTCCTGCCAGCTTTGTGTGCTGTGGGTCAGGCCCTGTGTGGACGATCATTAATGTGTACCCCACAACACCCTCTGACATTCACCCTCCTGGTCTTGATGGCCTGTCTGGAAGGACAGCAGGACAGGGATCTCCCCTCCCTGGGTGACAAAAGCTGCCCTGGCCATCAAAGCCTGTGCAAGACATGAGGAGTCAGCACAACTAAAGAACGTGGACCATGCTGGAATCAGCCTCAGGTCTTCTTCAGCCTCTTCTTCCTCTCA